AAATCCGAACACCCAGTTTAATGGTTTTATTTTAATAAAAGTTGGTGAATGTATTTATCTTACTGTAAATAACAAGTGAAAAAATGTTCAGCCTTATCAGTTGGACATTCCGGTTTTTATACTGCTTTTTTTTAATTCACTAACGCTCCAAAAATGAATATTTCAGCCGCAGTAAAAAATCAACGTTGGCGGATTTTGGTTCTTGACAACCTTTACGATCGGTTACGATGCCTAGAGTACGGAGACCTGTACGATTTCGTCAACTTAGTGAGTTTGATAGGGGCCGTATAGTGGGACTTCGGGAAGCTGGACTTTCTTTTCGGGCAATTGCAGTTAGAGTGCAAAGAAATGTAGACACTGTGGTTAGGTGTTGTCAGGCATGGCTTCGAGAAGGCCCGTACGTAAAGAGCAAGGGGCACTGGGTGCCGCCGTAGAACAACAGACCGTGAAGATCGCCGCCTAAGATTATTGGCCTTAAGGGACTGTTTCTCCACTACCAGGTCCATTGCAAATGAATGGTTTGCAGAACACGGAAGACCTATTGGCATGCGAAGTGTTTACTGACGAATGAGAAGTTTTGGCTTGTTTTCATACCGGCCACACTGGGTCCTCCCTTTAACTCGAGAACACCGACGTAATCGCCTTGAGTGGTGCAGACAACGGTCACTCTGGGATCAGGAATGGAACAGTATTGTCTATAGTGACGAGTCTCGATTTTGTTTAGGCATGCACGATGGTCGTGCCAGGGTTAGAAGGCGACGTGGTGAAAGGAGGAATCCACAGTTTTTTGTTGAAAGACATGTTCATCACACTGTTGGAGTTATGGTTTGGGGTGCTAGAGCTTATGGTTCCAGGTCACCTTTAATCTTCATCAGAGGTAACATGAACGCGCAGCGTTATATCCATGAAGTTCTAGAACCCCATCTCTTACCCTATCTTGACACCCTGGCAGATCCAACTTTCCAACAAGATAATGCCCGACCACATGTTGCAAGAGTCACAATAGACTTCTTTCAACATAATGATGTCACATTGTTACCATGGCCACCAAGATCTCCCGACTTATCCCCAATTGAGCACGTGTGGGATATGATGGGTAGGAGATTGCTCAATTTGCAACGTCCTCAACAGACTCTAGAAGCACTTCGAGAGGAGTTGGTGGTTGCCTGGAATGAGATACCACAGGAGGACATTGACCACCTGATCAGAAGCATGCCTAGGCGCGTTGGAGAATGCGTAGCACATCAGGGTGCATCCACACATTATTAAAGGTCAAAGGGCTTTAAAGCAGTGCAATCATTTTGAAATTTTTATCATTTACTTATTATGCTTCATTAATTTTTTCATACTTATACAAAATTTTATTAAAATAAAACCATTTAAACTGGGTGTTCGGATTTATATGTCACTTAGTATAGTTAATTTTTACTCGAAAACAAATTTATTGATGGAATCAGGTTCACAAGCAAATAGCATTTGAGACAGTCAAGTGTGGAAAATCACATCAGGCATGTGGTGGCCGAAATCGTTGATGCAGTGCTGGAGGCGTTCTTGGAAGTTCGCGTAGACTCTCTCCAACATCGCTATCTCAACTTGGGCGACTTCCACGCAAATTTCGCCCTTCAATTCGTCCAGAGTTCGGGGCTTGTTCGCGTATACTCTAGCCTTGAGGAGTCCCCATAAGAAAAAATCGCATATGGATAAATCTGGGGACCGAGGAGGCCAATGAACATCGCCAAACCTGGAAATAAGGCGACCAGGGAAGAGAGGGCGAATAACGTCCATGGATGCTCGGGCTGTGTGGGCGCTCGCCCTCCTGCTGGAACCACACACGTCGGATTGGAACACGTCGCCGTCGTAATTCAGGGAGAAAGAAGTTGGTGATCATGTCGACGTACCGCTCTGAGTTCACGATAACATCACGACCATTACCGTCTTCGAAGAAGTAAGGGCCAATGATGCAAGTTTGCGATACAGCGCACCAAACCCTTACTTTTGGGCTGTGCAGCGGTCTTTCGTGTAACTGTTGCGGATTTTCATTAGCCCAATAACGACAATTCTGCTGGTTAACCATGCTGTTTAGGTGAAAGTGGGCTTCGTCACTCATAAACAAAATGAGGTTCTCATTTTGATCGATCAGTGCTTCCATCTTACGTGCGAAGTTCATTCGTTGTGCATAATCTCCGGGCTGTAACTGCTGCACAATGGCCAATTTGTAGGGATGAAAGCGGAGATCCATATGCAAAATTCGCCTTACCGAACGATCACTAAGGCGAAGTGCAGCAGCAGCATGTTTCCGGGTAGATCGACTCGGACTGCGAAGAAAGACCTGTCGAACGCGTTCAACATTTTCAGGAGTTCAAACTGTTCGCGGCGCTCCTCTTGCTCTTCTGTTGATCAGTTCACCAGGCCTGCGAAGTGATTCAATCCAACGAAGGGTGGTGTTTCGAGTGGGAACAGCTCTATTCCGATGAATGTTGAAGTGGCGACGAAACTCACGCTGTACGACGATGACTGACTCATTATTTCGGACGAAACAATCATAGGCGAAAACGCGCTGCTTCACCGTCCAAGGCTCCATAACGACAACTGCTAAAATAATGCTAGGATCTCACGAGTCAAACGGCACCCGCTCCACCTCTCTCGTAGACGGAGGCGGAGAGTACTACCCATCCCAAAAACGTCCGTCCTCTCTGCCGCACCCTGTACATTAACAGCATCCCATTACCTTGGAAACATTAAAACTTTCCTATTTTCATATAGTTTTTTGGGGTCGAAACTGACACATTTTGTACTTTTTCAAACATTAAATCGCTATTATTTCGAAACCTATCAACTTTAGATAAAAACCATAACAACCTTTTTTGTTCAGAATGGCCCAATGCAAAAATTGTTGTGAGCGAAAAAACAACGTCTAGGAGTAAACTTCGTTTACTGCCTCTTTTAAATTTGGATGCCATTACGCTGATTAGAATTATAAAATATATCATTATTTACGTTATTTCGCAAAAATAGTTATTTTTTCACTTTGTCAAATATTTCATATTAATTACATTTCCTAAGCATAAAAGCAGTAAATCAATTTATCGAAGCAAAAAAAGTTTAGTGTTCTATGTTGTAATGATTATGGCTATTAGTAATTACTTTTGCTTTGATAGAATAATTTTATAAATATTCTTCTTTTAAACTATCATATAAGCAAACATGCAGTTTTCAGTTTATTTGTATAATTATTTTTATTGGATTAAATTGTTAAATGTAATTATACAGGGTGTTAATAAAGTATGTAGACAAACTTTAACCATCGAATCCTTGGTCAATTTGAAGACGAAATTTCCATATGAACATGGGCCCGCAACGGCTTTGTTTTCAAGCTAGATCATATTAGCACTAATAAAAATGATGATATTGTTCGAAAAAATTAGAAAAGAATGGAATGTATTTTATTTTAATTAGGTATGCCCTGTGGTGAATATCATATGATTTACAGTTGTTTTCAGACACTCCATGTACGTGGATATGAATAATGTTATCCAGAATTTTTTGAAAAAATAGCATGACATTGATTTGTTTTGATCGCAATACTTTTAATAGTCAGAATTGTCGAGTCATGGCTGACTACACAAGATACTCTGGGTATTTTCAGGAGAGTTCGTCAGTCGATGTGTAACAGACTAGACGCCTGTATTGAAGTCGAGGAGGTCACTTTGAACATTTAATGTAAGAAAAACTATTCGATATTTTCTATTGTTGTCGTTCTTTCGAATGTTACTTTTCAAAACTATTGACCTTTTAATTAATTTTTTTTGCAAAAATACAGGATAATACTATTCTCATCCACGTTCATAATGAGCTTCAGCAACTTGTAAAACATTCAAAATTTATCATAGGTTGTACCAACTGTTCAATGAATACTGTGACAAATAGTACTGTTGGCGCCATCTGTTGGGCGAGTCTCCTACTTGCCAGAGCTTAATGGCCGATCTATGCTTTTACGCGAACCACGACCGCACAAGCCGCTTGGCGGCGTCTGACACGAAGTGACCTCCAATATTCTAGATGTCGCTTTGTGGTTCACCAGCCCTTTCTCGAAGCAGCAATGGGGACTATATATAACTCGGCGGCCGGGAGATGGAAGGAGAGTACAGATTACACCAGAGCAGAGCGGAGTGGAGTATAGTACAGTCAATGGCGACATAAGAATTAGTCAAGCATAAATAGTGGTGTATATAAATGTTCTATCGAGTTAAATAAATTAGTCCATCTCTTTTTGTGGAATCCAGTGTTTTAATCCACACCCAAAAGAATCCAGAAAGACGCTACAATACGTTTCATTATTCATAGACATATTTGGAACATTACATGTATTTCTTTAGTGATAGTGCTCTAGATCGAAAAGAAAGCCCTTACGGACCCATGTTCATAAGAACATTTAGTCTTCAAATTGACCAAGGATTCGATGGTTAAAGTTTGTCTACATACTCGTACTTTATCAACAAATATTAAATTGACTTATTGGATGTTGAAAATATTTACTTTGTGCTATTTATGCGACTTTCAATGCGAATAAATAAATAAAAGCAGTAGATTTGATTTGCGGAGTATAAAAGCAGTAAATCAAGTGTTACGACAATTAAAAAAGGAACGTCATTTACTTTAGGCTCCGACAACAGATATGATCAAAAATCTCATTCAAATGACTCTCTATAAAGTCATATAACTTTGGAATATTCATTCGCGTTTGTTGTGTTGTAATAATACTATTTATTTAGTTCGAAAAAATGCAGAGTTTTGAACTGATTTTTCTCAAACTTTGACTCTTCAGTGCCCTTCATCTGAGTACGACAGTATTGTCCAAACAATTTTTGACGCAGTTTTAGGTCTAACAACTTGAACATTTTTTTATAAGATTATGCAAAAAATCGATTCAGAATATTTTTCGGAGCGGATGCGAATATACTGAAAATTAGTTTTGTCAGGATAGAATAAAAAGCCAGACACATGTTCCCATAATCTTATTGCAACCCTGTATTTGGATACATATTACTCGCATACACCATTAATAGCCTGAATACTCCCTACTAACTGTAATTGACGACTAATACACATTGAAGTCACCGAGGAGTGAACTGCGCCCTATATATTTCTGGCGTTATCGTTATTCCTGGTACTGGTATTCCTGTGGGTTGCTTGGTACCTGGCCATAGAGATATGGTGTATTTCCTCATCACCTCTACAAATATCAGGAATATGGCATGTTTCGCTAATATTTCACCTAAACACCTTCTGTGACCTGTAATTTAAATCTGATATTAAATTGTAGGGCGACCCTGATCAAGTAATGATACAGTCAATTAGTGCCTTATTAAGAGGTTGTCTATAGGGGAGATTGAAACAATTAAAGCCTCTTGCTTCTGATTACTATGGTACTGTGTAGGAGTTATCTTTTGAGGAAGGCTGCTTGAAAATATTCCTATTGAAAAAAGATTCAGAAAATGGTAGCAGTGTTTCTATGATAGGATGGAAAGTACTTTCAACACGCACTGGGAAGTTGCTATAACCATTAATTAAAATTCACCCTTAAAATTTACGAAATCCAGAGACATTCATCTACGCAACATATAGATATATCGACTCAAATCAAGAGCGTACACAGCTCAAAACGAAACGGGGGGGGGGGCTACTTCAAAAAAAATGTTGGTGGGAGTTCGACAAATTACATCTACATAACTATGCTTGTTATTTTTTTTTGACAATTCATATGGATATGGAGAACTAGACCTAGGATTACTTCTTTGAAACATTCTAAATACGAACCGTGTTGTAAAAAAAATTGTGCAGAAGGATTTATCCCGTACAGTAATCGACAAAAGTATATAGACAAATATGAATATTTACCTACATATATACCTTTAGAAAACGAATTCATACTTCACTGCTTCATAAACAAATGCGTTATTAGTAGAAAAACTAAATTCCTTGTTTTTACATTATCTGCAATGAACGCAATACAAGTCTGAATATAAGCACTTTTTTATGAGGGACAAAAATATGTAGACAAATTATTTTCTACATTAGATTAGTAAAGTTTCGTGTCAGAAGAGGATTAGTTTGTGTTCATCAAGTATTGTGGAATAACTTGAGTGGTCCAGAAATTTCTTTCGATGTGAAAACTGAGATCATTGAGTTATACAAAGGTGGTCAACGCCAAGTCGACGTTGGCAAAAATTTGAAGCTGACGCGTAAAGCAGTTTGGGCAATATTGAACAAATATAAACAAAAAGGTATCTTGGAAGCCTCTAAGAGAAGTGGTCGGCCTAGAAAACTAAATGCTAGATCAGTTAGATTAATAAAAGTAATTTCGTCCAATGATCCGTTTTAAACCCCAAGACAAATAAAAGCCGAAATCGAGACAAAAGGAATTGCCAGTGTTTCTACGAAAATTGTAAGTAGAGGATTAAATGATTTGAAGTTATTTGCACGTCGCCCGAGTAAGAAGCGGCTAATCTCGAGGAAAAACCGTAAGGACCACTTACAATTTGCACGGTTGCATCTTGATTGGAGCATCTGTGACTGAAAGAGGGTATGTTTCAGTGACGAATCCAAGTTCAATATGTTTGGATCAGATGGTGTTCATTACGTTAGACATCCTAGTGGACAATGATTGAACCCCAAGTACACTGTCAAACATGGAGGCGTGTCTGTTATGGTTTGGGGGTGCCTTTCTGGGTTTGGGATGGGACCTTTACATAGAATAGATGTCATTATGGATAAGTTTGTATACACAGACATACTAAAGCATGTCATATTACCCTATATGGAAGACCTTAAGATCAATCTTCCAGCAAGATAATGACCCGAAGCACACTTCAAATTTCGCAAAAAAATTCTTTCTGGATGAAAAAATACCAGTTCTCAAATGGCCTTCACAGTCTTCCGATATAAACCCCTTTGAAAATCTATGGGAATACTTAGATAAGCAAATAAGAGATAAAAATTATTCAAACATTGATGAACTTTTTTTAGAGCAAAAATGGAGACAGATTTATGAATCTTATATCAAGAAACTTCTACAATCTATGCCGATACGATGCCAGGCGGTGATTGATAATAATGGTTATGCTGCAAAATATTAACACAAACGTGGTTGGTTTTCTATAATTCAATGAACTTTGCTTCTTTTTTCTGTAATTTTTTTGCTTTGTCTATATATTTTTGTACTTCATAGTTCCAGTTTTTTTCAATTAATTTTTTATTGAAGGGAGTCTAATGAATTTATTTATGTATAAGTAAGTATTATGCTATAACGAATTATGAATACAGGTTGGTATATTAATAAAACAAGTTAAAAAAGAAATACAGTACAATATTAATTTGTCTATATACTTTTGTCCATTACTGTATATATATATATATATATATATATATATATATATAGTGCTTTTAGCAAAATTAAGTTTATATCTAATATACAGTTCAACTAATCGTAGTAATTTTCCATCTAATAGATATTAATTCAGCTTGTGGAGAACCTGACATGAATAATTTAATTTTTGCAAAAAATGTTCTCTCTGGGAGCTAGAAAAAATGGGGGCAGCTGCTCCCCCGCTCCACCCCCCCTGGGTACGCCCTTGACTCAAATTACATGTAGTATGAACATCAAAGACCATCAGTAAAAAAGTGTACAGAAGAAAAGTCCGGCACAATTGAATTGTTTTTCTTGTCTTATATCATTTTTGGTTAAAGCTTAGTTTGAATATCTAAGGTGCAGGCGTACAGAAACTTGCTTTTCTTTCAGCAAGTTATTTGGCAGATAAACTAAAGAAACCTCATAACCTTGAAGTGAATTTAGTGCATATTCCTTTTATTATCAAATCTGCATTAAATACCTACCCCGAAACAGATGATATAATAGTACCTACCGAAATAAGACAAAACAAAGTGCCATCTATCACCAGAATCGCCCACTGCGAATGAAAACAGCAAGCTGTCTATTGGACCTGTATGCCAGTTCGCATTGTCAGCCGGATCACCACTGTGGCCGCTAGATGCCGCCGATTCTAATACTATAGTGGATACGGCCTACTCGCCATTAGATATACTAGTAATATAGCTTTCGTTTGTCCGACCACACACGGCCAACCATGGTCAGCTGTTTCGTGCTATTTGGCAACTTTTTAGCATGGTGTAGCCTTCATCTCGGTGAATAACGAACGCAAGCTGATCAACTATGCTCTATGCAGAGTCTATTGAAATAAGATAGCACAAAGAGCCATCTATTACCAGAATCGATCAATGCTAAAGTGGAAACTGAATAGAGGTGGTCTGCTTTCGTCCACAACCAATAGACACGTCTTCTCAGAGATATACTCTACAAACTGACTCAGCATTCTGCAATCAACAAAGTATGCTGGCGAAGTGACTTGCTCTCCCTACAGACATTCGTCAGAAAATTTCTGACAAAAGAGCTGCAATTAAGCAAGCGAAGAGGTCTTGACACCCAGATGACATTCACAGAGCAACGAATCTTGTTCATGAAGTGGGAAATGCTCTTCATGAATTCCGTAATGAGTAATGGAGCGACTTTCTGTCGGGGATGCTTGACTCAAGTTTTCCTCTCTGGAAAGTTGCAAAGTCGCTCAGAAACGGAAAGCGGGAACAACTCCCGCACATCCACGGTCCTAGGGGCATAGTCTGTAGGACAGAGGAAAAGGTCGAGGTTTTCGATGATGCAATGGAAACTCAGTTCTCTCCCAACTATGACCTTGATAATGACCTCGACGAGGAGCAACATATTGTAAGATCCGTCAGGAGATATGTTAGGGCCAACGGCGTCAGTAGCAGTAGTGGCTCCCTTAGTGATTTTTCCTCAGAGGAATCTTCAGAAGATTCCTCAACTGAAGAGCTGCATGGCACATCAGCGGAATCTCCTGAGACTCCGCATTGCACACCAGCACAGCTCCAAGGTCATATTAAAGACCTCAAGGTGCGTAGAGCACCTGGAGAGGATCGAATCACTAATAAGGCGCTGAAGCTACTGTAGCGGAAGTACCTAACTTATATCGTGGCAATAATCAATGCCATGCTAAGGACCCAGTACTTCCCAACGGCGTGGAAGACCGCTGACGTCATAATGATTCCAAAGAACGTGGGTTCGATATTCCCCCAGGATTACCGCCCCATTAGTCTACTGTCAGTTTCTGCTGAGCTCGCTGAAAAGGTAATTCTACGTCACCTTGAAAATTTCTCGGCAGACCACAATGTGATTCCTGACGTGCAATTCGGCTTTCGGTCTGAGCATAGTACGGAGCTACAGGCCATAAGGCTTGTTGAACGAGTAACCAGGGGGTTCACCCGTAACGAAAGTACTGGCATCTTGCTTCTGGATGCCTCAAAGGCATTTGACAAGGTGTGGCACAAGGGCCTTCTCTACAAATTGATCCATAAGGGCTTCCCCTTCTGGCTCCTAAAACTTTTGAAATCCTTCCTCGAGGGTAGGAAATTTCGGATCAAAATTAATAACGTTCTGTCGACAACACAGCCCATCAAAGCCGGTCTCCCTCAGGGTTCGATTCTTGTACCAGTCCTTTATTCACTTTTTATTCATGACGTCCCTTGCCCCAGCAACTGTGAAATCTATCTCTATGCTGATGACACTGCCCTAGTGGCCCAGTCGTGCTCTGGGGATCTAGTTCACGACAGGCTGCAAAGTGCAGTGGACGAGGTATTGGAATGGGCGAATCGGTGGCTGATCAAAATTAATCATTCGAAAACGCAGGCAATCTATTATACTAAAAAACGTAGCGGCGCCCCGTTTGAGGTTTCAGTGAATGGAGCTCGGGTACCATGGGAAAGCTCTGCTAAGTATCTCGGTGTCACTCTTGACAAGGGCCAAAACGCATTTGCGTAGCCTGCAGGTTTTGCAGAACAGAACCTTGCGTACAATCACTAATGCCCCATGGTATGTTTCAAACGAGACCCGTCACAGAGACCTTGACATCCCTTACCAAAGGGACTACATCAAACAACAAGCGCAGCTACGTTATAGTCAAGCTGAATCGCATAACAACCCTTTCTTGCACGAGTCAGTAGACTACACAGTCGAGCAAGGCCGCGACTCGCACTGTGAACAAAATTAAATCGGGCGACTTTAGGTCCAACAAAAATTATAATTTTTCTTCAACAACCAATCCCAAAATTAATTTTAGGACCAAATTAAAATTGCCGAATACTAATTAGTAATGCCAAGGCACCCCACTTTGTGAACAATGTTATTTAAAACATTTGTAAGTTCTATCGTTATTATCATCGGCTATAGAAATATAAACTACCCAGCCACGTTATATTTCGAACAATGGTCCTGCCACTATTTTCCAAATCAGTATGTATAAGACCTGTTACTATAGCCTACCTAAGCCAAAGGTGAGAACCCTCTCCTTATTATGTATATTTCCTTCGTTGTCTAAGAACCTTTCTGGTCTGAAAACTTCTGGGTCCTTCCAGTAATCTTTGTCAAAATGAACAGAATGCAAACTTATTAATACTGTCGTGTCCTGCAAAAAAAAAACCAAAAGTAGTTATTATTACAATAATCATTTGTATAAGAGCGCAAAATGCTGCTTAGCGCTCAAGTTGCTGAAAATCGAAAAAAATCAATATCGTATATTTTCTTTTGATTTTAATTCACGCGACAGAGACTTCCAATATCGTGAAAATATGTACTATGATAAGTTGAGCAATAAATTTGACAGTGACACGAGAGGTAGACTGGCTTCAGACCAATCTGATAAAATCAACATGACATTAAAAGTTTTCTGGTTTTCGAGATATTACTACTTTTAAGTTTTTTCAAAAAATCTCTACTTTTGCTCCTTTTTTGCCTGTTAAACTTCTAACTTTACTGGGCTACCATTAATAGTTGGTTGACAACTAGCACGGTATGCTAAGAAAAACTAAAGTATTACATTTGGTTTCAATGCGAAAACCTTTACTATGAAAAAAAATGTACCAGACTGTGAATCAGCAAATGACCTTGAAAATTAGACATTTAATGTTCTCTCAAAAATGGTAAAACATTTGTAGGTTCTTTCTACTAAAAACTGAATAATTCCAAGTTTTGTCATTGAAGTCGTAATACTGCAAAATTCTACAAATAAAAAATAATATTTTTAAAAGAGCATTACATTAGACACATTTTTTTCACAGTAGTTACTCAAACTTTAGTAAAGGTTTTCACAATGAAACAAAACGTAGGTAATATTTTTTTTAGCATACTGTGCTAGCTTTCAATGAAATGAATACTCTGTTGTCTCAACAGCTATTAAGAGTAGCTCAGGATAAAAATCGTAAGTTAGAAGTTCTTTATAGCCATAGTAGGCAAAAAAGGAGCAAAAGTAGGGATTTTTGAAAAAACTTCAAAGTGGCAATATCTCGAAAACTAGAAAACTTTTACAAAGGTATGCTGTTTTTATCTGATTGATCTCAAGCCAATCTACCTCCCGTGTCACTCTGGTGTGTTATTTTTGGGACACCCTCTATGTAACGACTGGATAATAATAATAATAATAATAATAATAATATTAAAAAAATTCAGAAAGCCGCTTTACTGGGGACATGCAGAACAGTCCGTAGGGTCCTGGCAGGCGAAAACTCGACATTGTAACCTGCAAAATTGGTATAGGCCTTCAAAATGCTTACATCCTCTGGTGCAAACCTGGATTAAGCATATCAAACCCTCTCAGAGGAGATGATTGAATGAACAAATAATAATAATAATAATAATAATAATAATCCGGCTTTATTTATACAAAGTATAAAAAGGCGAAGTGTCGCTAAAAAGCGTTTTTCAATTTGACCCAACAAATATTTGTGTAAATTTTCTAATCCCAGTGAAAACAAAAAAGTTATAAATTTGGTTGATAGATGGAGGGGCTTCTGTTGTGATTACTTTATGGGTCAAGGTCAATACGTGCATTTTTTGTAGCTCTTCTAGTTTTTGAACACGCAGCTCATGATATTTATGAGACACTGTCTCAAATTTTTTCACTCAACAATCAAATCTGAGACACGCATGAATAGTCTGAAGTCTGCTTATCTCAATCGATCTTAGTGCAGGCCCATAAATACAGTCGCAGTAATGAATTCTAGACCATATTAAGGTTTCTCACAACTTCAGCTTGAGACCAATATTCATACTTTTCCTATGAGGAAATAATTGCTGCAAGACACCGAATGATATTCGGCACAGCTGACTAACATGTTTTTCAAACCTCAAATCAGAATCAGTCCAGAGTCCCAAGTTCTTGCACTAATTTTTTATAAGGATCGGTTGGTCTAAAATGCTCAATGAAAGTAATGGTTTTGCCTGACTTTTTTTGATTTTTGGTCCAAATATAACTGCGAATGATTTTAACGGGTTAATTTTGAGATTATGGGCACGATAAATTTATTAAATCATTATTAATCAAATGTTCGGCAATTTTTAAATCTTTAATATCAAAGCCAAAGTACAATTGAGTGTCGTTAGCATAGTGATGAATACTACAGTGTTCAACGAAGTCAGAAATGTAAATTGAGAACAATAATGATCCCAGAATGGAACCCTATGGTACCCCTAGTTTAACTGGTATCTCCTCCGAGATACTTGACCCAATCACAACCATCTGACTCCTGTCAGTGAAATAACTTAATACAAAATTAATTGCAGATTCCGAAAAACCAAAGTATATAAGCTTTTTCACAAAAAATCAAAATGCTTGAAATCACGGAAGGTATAATGTGTAACATCTCTAGTCTTGGTCTTTAGAGCAGATGATCAAATCTACTAGAGTGTTCGAAAGCCCTGTGATGCCTGTACGCTCATTAATAATTTGTTTTAAATCAAACGATTTCGGCATATCGTTAGCAGGTGAATTAGCAAACATGTTTATATTTAAATCTCCTAATAAGGATGATCTTCAGTAATTTGAACGAATCATTATAAATATGCAATATTCATTAATAGTTTAAATAAAATTAGCCAATTCGTTTATTTTACCTGAGAGACAAAAACACAATTGGAGAAAGATACTTCTTTATTATCGTGATTTTATTTTTACTTTTCATAGTGTGCATTATCATAACATTCGCTTTCCGATCTACAATATATACGCATACTTATTAGCTTATTTACTATGTTTTATAAAATATTGCTTTCGCTCATGCTGTTTTTCAAAAAAATTACAACAAAAAAAAAACAAAAATTGTGAACTTTTTTATTTGAAATTCATTGTATTCCCTCAGAGTGCCAAGTGCATATTTTTTATTAGATTAGAGATCAGTATTGTGTCAATGAAAATGAGAAGAGAATATACAAAATGCCTCATTTTGGCCGATTTCTTAGCAATAACGTGAACGTTTTTTGTTAGATTTAAGTGTTCGAAATTTAAAAAAATATTTGAGGTCTGTCCTTCGGAAATATTAACTTTGCATTACATCCTTCGAGCAATAACACGTAGTTTTCGGTGAAATGTAGAAAAATATTGCATAATATGACCTAATAACTACCGTAGGCTTTGCAAATATGTACAAAATGTCAAAAAAGTAATCTCAAATCAAAAACTTACAGTGTTTTTCGCCTCAAAATATACAGGGTGTTCCATAATTATTGCGACAAAATGATAGGGGTTGTAGAGGGCATCAAAATGAACAATTTTGCCTTATAAACCCCTGTTCGGAAATATGCCGTTTGGGCTGCAGCAAAAAAAAAAGATCAGTTTCTTGAAACAGCTTACCTACAGTAATTGCTCAAAGTGTCCTCCACCTTGCTCAATACACACCTGTGCACGATTGTTCAATGATCGGCGAACTCTGTGGCATACCCCCGGTATGTCCTGAACATGTGCGGACGCGGCCATCACTCTTCCCAGTAGCTCTTGTTGGTTGGGAACAGGAGTTTCGTACACTAAAGCTTTCAGATGGCCCCAGAGAAAATAATCCAGTGGGGTCAGGTCGGGTGACCGCGCAGGCCAAGGTACAGGGCCATCTCGGCCTATCCACCTATTTGGAAATTTGTCGTCTAAATACTGCCGCACTTGTAAAGAAAAGTGGGCTGGAGCGCCATCGTGTTGAAACCACATATTGGCTATTATGTTCAGTGGCACAGTTTCTAATAGTTCCGGTAGCACATGCTGTAAGAATCGACCATAAGCATGCCCATCCAAACGTGGTGGAAGCAAATATGGCCCGATGATATGCTCGTCCACAATGCCGCACCAGATGTTAATTGAAAACTGATGTTGGTCTCTATGGATGGCTATGGCATGAGGGTTTTCTTCATCCCAAATGTGACTGTTACGGCTATTAAAATAACCGTCCTTTGTAAAACAGGACTCGTCAGTGAACAAAACGTAGCGACCAAAGTTTGGTTGACTCAACTCCTGCTGCAGCCACCAACGAAAAACGTCGACGCGGCAGATAGTCTTCTGGACCCATGGCTTGGACTTTTAAAAGGTGGTATGGGTGTAGTTGCTGGTCATGGAGAACCCGCCAAACACTAGTTTGAGACGCTGCCATATCATGTGCAATAGCACGCACGCTTATACGCGGATTGGCCTCTACATGATGCAGAATCGCTTCCTCAAATTCTACTGTGCGCCTCGTGAAGGGCCGCTCTGCTCCCGCGAGGTGTCTGATGCTGCCACTGACACGAACACGTCCATGAATCCTTGCAAAAATGGCGTGATGTGGATGAGGACGTTCTGGAAACCGTTGGGCGTAGATTCGCGAGGCTCGTCTTCCGTTACCACCAGCTTCTCCGTAAATTAAATGCATATCCGCAAGTTCCGCATACGAATAATGCTGCATTTTAACACTAAGGTACTGTTATTTACTATCTAGTTTGACGCACCACTCAGATAAATTAAATGAATCGGTGTGGAGATTTCACGATAACAAAAATGTAAACACAGCAGGCTTTTTTTACAAACTGGCGAGACCATGAAATGTGCTAGACGAACATTTTGCAGCTGGTCAATTTTTTGTTTCTCCTACGAGGTAAAATTAGCGGTAGTGCTCAAACGGCATATTTACGAACAGGGGTTTATAAGGCAAAATTGCATTTTTATGCCCTCTACAACCCCTATCATTTTGTCGCAATAATTATGGAACACCCTGTATATTAGATCTCGTGACCGTTTAACGTAATCCAAGCCTTAGAACATGCGAATAAGACATTACCACACAAAAAAGAAATGCACTCCCCCACTTTATCTATCTGCATTACTGTCATGAATACGTTGCATTTTTTAATATTACCATACCTTTGGTATATGATATCCTTCTAACTCTGTATCTCTTAAAACCCTTCGTGGTCCGTTGATTGGTACTACAGCATAGTACCTTTCTACCTCTAATATTACTGCTTCTATAAAAGAAACCCTAGAAGAATAAAAAGTGTTAAAATATCGATTGATTTTTCAAACAAGCGTGGAAGTTGCTTTTTGTCAACTATGCTTGGTGTATAAATGACAAACGCATTCATTTATAATTAATTCACCAGTGGCAATCACTATGTTAACTGAAATTATGATAGCGATATGTGTAGGAGACAACATCTCAAATGTAAATCAGATGTAATAAACAAAATGTCACCTACTACATATATAGTTATGTTATCTAAATACTTTAATCGAAAGTTGAGTTATTTGATTTTATCTGAGACGCGCCTAAACTTGCGCAATCCAAAAATAAACCTACAACAGCTGTTCTGAATTTTCTGGAGTTTCCTTTTGTGGACGTAATCTAAACATGGGTAATACAGAATAAGAGAGTAAGAAATGACAGACAACACAAGACTTTCAGCAAGCTTTTTTCGGGTTTTAAAATTCAAGATGTATCGATTAGAATAGAGGAGTTTCAAACGCAAATACGTTACTGTAGATATAGTAAGAAAGAGACATGCCGATCGAATCTCATATTTAAGTCAAGGGTAACACCGAGATTCTTGGCGTAATCCACAAAAGGGATGAGTGTCTCATCCAAAAAAACACAAATCCGGTGCTTCATTTCACGGTAGGAGTTCTTCGAACAGTACAACATTGCAGTAGTTTTATTAGGATTGATCTTCAAGCAGTGTTTGTTACAGTAATCACCGATGTTATCCAAATCTAAATTAACTTTAAAAGAAACTTCATCAACCTTTGATGGATCGAAACCAAACACTAACTGAGTATCATCTGCATAAGTTTGCATACTACAGTGGACTAAACAGTCTTGCAGATCGATCGTCTAAATCAGATATAGTAAGGGACCTAATACTGAGCCCTGAGGAACTCAGAGGAGGAAATTCCCTGATCAGTTTTCACTGTTTGTTGACGATTTAGCAAGTATGACTCAAAGAACCTTAGAACTATATCTGACATTCCATAATGAGATAACTTACTCAGTAGTATCTGGTGATTGACCATATCAAAGGCTTTCGAGAAATCTAACAGTACCAAGACGGTGTTGATGTGATTATCAAAATTGTGAATGATGGAATCAGTAAGATGTAATAAAGACGAAGTATTGCTGTAACCAGCTCTGAAACCTGACTGATGTGGAGGAAATAAGTGGTTTTGTTCGAAAAACTCCACTAGTTGTGAGTAGACAGCTCTTTCGAGTATTTTTGATAGAAAGCATAATAAGGTAATTGGCCTGAGATCCGAATATTGTTCTGGATGATTAGTTTTAGCTATTGGAATAATAATACCATTTTTCCAACTGGCAGGAAAGTAACCTGTTTCGAGACAGACATTAATAATGTGAGTTATATGGTCTATGGTATCAGGCAAACATAAGCAAACCATATTTAAAGTTAGACCATCAGAGCCACATGCCGTAGACTTAATGTGAGAGATTATATGTCTTGCTGAGTAAGGAGTTTAAAAGCAAACAGAGGTGCATCCGTTGTATGGCGTCTGTCGCTATAAGAGTTAGAGACACTATCAATCAAATTTGTATCAGCTGCAGCTGTCTGGAAAATTGAAAGAAAATAATTATTTAAAATGTTAGGCTCAAGGAGACTGGGAGGTATCGCAAGATGTTTCTGGGCTACCACATTCATCCTCCTCAGGTGTTTCCAAGCATGACTAGAGTTAAGATTCCGGAAACGTGACATATATGCTTTTTTCTCTCTTCTAAGCGATGCAAGGGCATAATTTCTCAAATCTTTGTAGCTGGCCCAATTCTGATCAGATCTGTTATGCTGATAGACAGCGAATGCCTCATCTCTGAGTTGAAAAATCATTTTCAAGTTAGGAGTGAGCCAGGGCGCAGCAGGTTTTGTGACACGTACTGTACGTAGCGGAACGTAGAGATCGAATAGATAAAGAAGACGGCCAGTAAAAATAGAGACTTTAATATCCACATCATTCACGAAATAAATGTCATTAAGCTGCATTGTTGCAATCTGCGTCTTAAAACTTTGAATATCAATGCTTTTAAGATTTCTATATGTTACAAATTTAGGCTCTATTTTTTTATAACAAACGGAAATATCACAGTATGTGAGCCGATGATCACTAATTGAGTCTGCATTGAGTGTCCCTGACCTTTTGACGATAGTATTGTCACTAACAAATATTGGATCAAGTAATGTGGAACTGAAGGCTGTAACACGTGTAGGCTCATCAATGACTTGAATGAAATTGAATGAATCAAAGCAGCTGCTGAGGATGTTGTTATGAGCAAGCAAGTTGACATTCATATCGCCCAAGAATATAATGTTGTTATATTGGGGAGTGAAAAATGAGATAAGATTTTCTAAACACTGGATGGCCTGATGTATAGAGCAATGTGGTGGCCTAAATATAACAACAATCAACATACTGGACCCGTGCAGTTTAAATTTATAGCATAACATTTCAAGAGGATTTATAAAGTCATCGAGCTCAACTGGGATAAGATTAGTGCTAATATCTAATTTAACATAGAGACCGATGCCACCCCCTCTGCTCCCACGGTCCTTACGGAAGAAATTATACCCAAGTATATTGATTACAGTGCTGTCAATACTGGAATGCAGCCATGTTTCAGTGACTGCTACAACATCAAACTTATATTGAACAAGAGAGGCAAAATCATTAAAGTGGGCTGTTAGAGAACGCACATTTAAGTGACATAGTTTCAAGACACTTTTTATAGTGTTAGCCATAACCCACCCTTTCTTTTAGAGTTTGAACATAATTGAGAAACACAGGACAGTTTGGAAAATTAGCCGAATGATCAACTGGTAGAATCTTCTTGTATACCGTGTTATGGTTCAGGCAATTTACGCATTGTAGGGCGCTCGAGTTACACTCCTTGATTTTATGATTTCGCGTACACCTTGGGCAGGACAGATCAGCTTTACAAGATGCTTCAGAATGACCAAACGAACAGCACTTGAAACACTTTAATATGCGAAAGTGATCAAAGATAGGTGACTTTTTCCGACCAATATATAAAAATCCTGTCTTTAATAATTCCGATCCTAGGGTAGGAGTGACTTCAATTACGATGTTGATTCCGCGGAAGGATTTGAGCTTAGTGACAAACTTAAGTAGAGAACCATCAATGTTGTTGAGAGAAGCTATGTTCGAAATCAAATCATCAGGATTGTCAAGACCATCCAAATTAACGTTTCTTATAAGCAGGCGTGGATTCAGCTTCTTAGCTTCAGATATTGAATATTTAGAACCCAATTTATTGCAAAGGTTATCTTTCAGTGTGCTCAGGGAACTGCCATCTTTGCAGTCCACAGCAATACCATCACGAATTTTTCGAGTATTATTGATGCAAACATTAAGGCTGGCTGGATTAACACAAGACTTTACTTCACTGAGAATTGAGTTCACATCTGCCTCGTTATCAGCCTTAATCAGGAGGGTCGAAGAAATTACTTTAGTTCTCTTCACTACATCGCTGTACTTGCTCGGTCCAGGAATGATAGCAGATTGGTCAGTGCTAACAGAAGGCGAAGAAATCTTCTCATGAGACTCAAGGACAGATTTTTGAAGGGACACTGTGTACTGCAAGTCATCAAGATGGTTCTTAGTTATACTAATTTCACGATTCAATTGATCAATTTCCCTCTGCATAGATTCAATACTGATTCTAGTAAGAGACGCTTTTGATTGCATTACAATTTTGCAATCGCTGCATACCCAGTGGATGTTATCACAATCTGAAAATATTTTAAGCCAAGCATCTTTAAAGGAAACACAATGGCAGTGGAATTTACCGCTACATAAACTGCATTTGACAAGTTTGGTTTTAACAATGAAATTGTCCTCGCAGAAGTTACAGACATCTACATCAGGTGCCATGACAATTGCATGGACCTAATATACCTGGACCATCTGTTAGGAAAACAAATGAAGAATGTGTTTTTTGCTCAGCTAAGTAAAAAAATACATGTGCAAAACTGAATCTACGTGTTAGGCGATTAAGAGTCTTATCGCACAGGTAATAAGGAAAAAGAATCCTGCAAGGTGCTATAGGTTCGAAAACAGCTGAACTATTCAATAACCCGCTAGTCGGTGTGATGTATACTCATGAACGATCACAAGTAGAGTGAATCAGATGAAAATATAGACATTGCTTTAAAAATGCTAAATTCTGACTTGGCAAAAATCGTAAATTGGTTAAATGTAAATAAACTAAAATTGAGTACCTCTAAAACAAAATGCATGCTAACAGGGAAATACCTAAATGAAAATACTATCACAGTTAGGGTAAATGGAGAAATAATTGAAAATGTTGAATCAATTTAATATTTAGGTACCTATATACATTGATAGTAAACTAAAGTTTGAGGATCACTTCGAAAATTGTCAAAAAAAAACAAATTACTTTTATAGGGCTTCTCATAGTCTTAGTACCTATTCCAAGAAAATAGTTTATAATAAAAAAATTGTACCTGATTTACTATATTGTTCAGTTATCTTGTTCACTGTCAATGAAGCTGTATTCTCAAAATTACAAGTCTTGCAAAATAAAGCTATGAGAATAATATTGAATAAAAATAAGTACATCAAAATAAAATCTATGTTACAAGAATTGCAGTGGTTTAATATAAAAAAATTCATATCATATTTGGTTCTTATTTTTATATGTAAAATAAAAAATCATCTTTGGCCAGAATATTTAGAACACTACTTAGAATTGAATAATCATTACCAAAATTATTATACAAGAGGAAATATAACTAGCAAATCAATATTTCTGAAAGGATTACTTCAATTTAATAAACTAAATAATGATATAAAGTCTACTTGTAATATAAAGATATTTAAAAGAAAATTAAAGGAATATTTCATCGACAATGAAAATTCTTAGAGATGCAAACTTTGCTTTTTTTTGTGAATATCTGTATGTTATGTAACTGTTGTAGTTGTTTAGAAGAATGTAATTATAGCAATCATGCTAAATAAATCGTAAACAAACACACATAATTAGTTACCTTTGTCTATCTTGATAAGATATGGACTCATTCTTTTGGAATGCGTTGTCTATAGAGTAATGCACTTTCTTCTGTATGTCGGGATAAAGAATCATTACCAAAAACAAAAAGTCGAGAGTGCTACTAGTCGTTTGAGCTCCGGCTATAAAAATGTCCAGACAGACGAGCAGGAGTTGGTCATCTGGAAAAATAACATTTCGAAGTATTATCAAAGAGTGAAAACTTTAATTTGTCATCGCTGCAGTCCATATGAGACATTTCAGAGATAAACATATATAACTGCAGTGATCAAATTCGAAAACTTCAAGTTACACAATTATGAAATTTTTTTGTCATGACTGATGTGAGGAATTCGACTAAAATATTTACAAAATAGTGGCACTTGCGGTTGTACCGGAAGCAGATATTAATTTGCATATTTTGAATGAAACACTCTATTTAATATTTCATTTTTGAAATCTACGCATATTTATTAACATATTTATGTATAACACTCTACAGGGTTATCCAAATTAAGTGTCCACCATTAGTAACTTTGTTATTAGTGAAAATACAAAGTTGTTTGAATTAGCAAACTAGTAGCATTTTTAACGCTGGTAAAAATGAGAAATAAAAAAAAACAATTGAGAGTCGTTATTTTGATTTTTTTCAGTAAGATAACATTTTTTTAAATGGAAACCCCTGTATATTATATTTTTTTCTGTTAAAGCATCAAATTTTAAACAAAAAAGTTCATAATGACTTTTCCGCTAAAGTCAAAAATAAAGTCAAAATAACGATAAATATTTTTAATTATTTGCAGTATTATAATATTAAGACGGCTATGAAAACAACATGGCGTTCGCGATTTGACAGCATTAAGATAAGCGACAAATTGTTAAACTGGACATACTCGCAACTAGAAGGCTTTGGAAAACAATGATAAAATCAAATAATGTCAAACATTAGTGTAAATACTTGTTTATAAGCTTTATTGTGTCATTAATTTAAAGAAAAATGTTCTCCCATGAAGAAAAGTGTGATATGTTAGAATGCTATTTAGTGTGCAGAAAATCCTCCTTGAGAGCAAGAGAATACTACAGTGAATTATATCCCGCTCGCATTCAACCGTATGAACGATATTTTCTGAGACTTTATAGAAAATTTAGGGGCAACGAAAATGTTTTTGCTAAAACAAGGGCAAAAAAAGAATTCATAATAAGCGAGGCCACGGAAATTGCAGTTATTGGATATTTTGAAGCTTATCGTGAGAATTCAATAGCAGATATTCTCAAGGACTCTAATTTCAGTTATGGTACTGTTCAAAGGATTTTAAAAAAATACAAATTTATTCCGTATAAGTACCGACCAGTTCAAACGCTTTTGGCAGGGGATCCAGAGAGAAGACTTGTTTTTTGCCATTGGTATCTTAGCTTCTGTCGCCAAAATGTAAATAACTTTCGTTACCTTTTATGGACAGATGAATCAAATTTTTCAAATTCTGGAATGTTTAATAGAAAAAACCACCATTATTGGTCAAGAGAAAATCTTTTGTTAGTACATCCAAGAGGCCCACAAGTCCGTTTCAGTTTCAACGTTTGGTGCGGTATAATTGGTTCAAAAATTGTTGGCCCGTTCTTTTATGAGGGAACCCTAACTGGTGAAAGATATGTGGAATTTATGTCAGAAATTCTGACTAATTTCTTAGACGAATTGGATCTTATAAGTAGACATCATCTGCATTTTCAGCAAGATGGCGCACCTGCCCACAACTCCAGAGGTACTTATCATTTTCTAAGTACTACTTTTAATGATCAGTGGATAGGAACAAATGGCCCAATACAGTGGCCTCCCAGATCACCAGATCTAAACCCACTTGATTACTTCTTGTGGGGTTACTTAAAGAACCAAATTTACAAGCGAAGGTACGATAACCTTGACGCGTTAAAGACTGCAGTTAGGGAAAAGATAACCCAGATAGATGGTAGGACCATACTTAAGACAGTTCGAGCAGTTGAAAAACGTGCCCAAAAATGTATTGAAGAACAAGGTGGTGTTTTCGAGCATCTTCTTTAAAAAAAATTGTTATTGTATTTTGTAAGATTATAAGTTGATGTTGAAAATAAAGTTTGTCGATACAATTTAATTGTTTCAGATTGGAGGCCATAACTTCAACAATTTGTAACCTAGGAGAAAAGTTATTGTAAGCTTTTTTGTTTAAAATTTGATGCTTTAACAGAAAAAAATATAATATACAGGGGTTTCCATTTAAAAAAATGTTATTTTACTGAAAAAAAATCAAAATAACGACTCTCAATTGTTTTTTTTTATTTCTCATTTTTACCAGCGTTAAAAATGCTACTAGTTTGCTAATTCAAACAACTTTGTATTTTCACTAATAACAAAGTTACTAATGGTGGACACTTAATTTGGATAACCCTGTATACCTAATTATAACCGTTTTTGAAATATATCAAAATTTGTGTAAAACGTCGCAAATGCAGGTCCACAAACGCATATTGATTTTTCATATGTTTTCGCCTTTGCCAAACAATTTGTAACTGCTTGCCTTAATCTTAGACTTTTTTCGATATTAAGATATAAGCATCCCAAAAGTCAATTTTTCCAAACGGAAACCTCCTATTTTTATAATCAACAAAAATAAGAATAGTTTTGTATGAGCTTATGTAGTTTGCAAGTTAGCAGTTTGTGCAATATTTAGAAATACTCGTTTTCTAATTTTTAGTATGACCATGGCGCAGTAAAATATAAAAAATGTGTCTTTATGTATGACTTTTCCATATGTGATCCATGTATTGCACATAAAAGAGTGAAAAAAAGGAAAAAAGTATGAACATTTCGTGGTATCGATTTGCGGTTTTGAAAATATTAATTAATTTCCATTTTTTTTCCTAAAACTTCAACACCCCAAGTTTTTGTAAGGAAACATTTTTGGACCATAGTTTATAAAGCAAACTAACATTAATTTTTCATGTAGATTCACACCCTTAAATATACGCATATCATTAAGGAACACCCTGTATATATATATATAGTGCTTTTCTTTAATGCCCCTTCCCCTTTGATTTTTGGAACGGATCAATTCAAAAAATTAAAACTTGAGGTAATGAAATTGATGCGTGGATACCATATTTTAGAGTAAAATTGACAGATGAAAATGTCAAGATGGCCGTTGGGCGCCATCTTGGAAAAAAATTAGATGAAAACGGGGGTCTTGTGACACATCATTTTGAAGCTCCTGACAAGTACTTCATAACCCTGGAACTTAAAGTCAATACCTTTACCTACCACAAAATGGTGGTACATTTAATAATTACTTGAACACAAATCCACTAACATACATACATCTCTACAAATAATTGTAATTCTCTGCTGTATCCAGAGCAACAGCGATAAAAACTTGTTTTGTTATTTTTTGTTGACAGTGACAAGAATATCAGTACGAAAACAAACATCATTGTACAGTTAAAATATTCTTATTTAGTTTTCGGTTTTAGTGCTAGATACTGTTTGAACTATTTTTAAAATGGTCAATTCTGTTCCATTGGAAGAAGAAATCGAAGTGATTTTTATTTATGGTGCGACGCGTAACTTTCACGAGACCGAAAGGATTTTTAATGATCGTTTCCCGAATAGTCCTATCTGTAATAAATATTTAAGGGAACTTGTATCTAAATTTACAGCTACTGGTAGCGTAAACACCAAAAAGACCCCAGGTCATCCGACCATCCTGGAAGAAAAGCAAGTTCAAATAATTGGTGAGATCGTAGTAAATCCCCAACAGTCTATTTCCTCCATCGCGAATGTATGTGAGGTTTGTCCTTCTACTGTATGGAGACTTTTGAAAAAGAATAAGCATCACCCATACAAAATTGAAATGGCACATCAGCTAACTGAAGATGACCCTGATCGAGGAACAGAATTCTGCGAGACTATGACGGAATCCATTGCACGGCATCCTACCTATACCCAAAATATTTGTTTTAGTGATGAATGTACATTTTTTCTCAACGGTAATGTGCATCACCAACTCACATGTCTTCCGGGAAACTCATACTCAATATCCACAAAAAATTAACGTTTGGGCTGGGATATTGGCAAATCATATCGTAGGGCCTCTATTCATCGAACAAACTTTAACCGGGGAACTGTATTTGGATATGCTGGAAAATACTATTGACCCTCTAATCACCGAAATCTTCGAAGCGAATCCTAATGAGTTCGATACTGATATTGTATTCCAGCAAGATGGTGCTCCACCACACTACCACATACAAGTTATGAATTATTTAGATAATTTCCCCGGTCGTTGGATTGGCTGTCGAGGTCCTGTGGAATGGCCAGATCGCTCGCCAGATTTGACACCTTCAGAGTTTTTCATGGGGCTATTTGAAGCAAAAGGTGTACGAAACTGAACCTGTTTCAATATTGGATATACGACTGAGAATAACAAGTACATATTTGTAGAAATATCGATGTTTGAAAATGTTCGACGCGAAATTACGGACCGGCTGTTATTGTGTCAAGAAGTTCAAGGCAACCATTGCCAGCATCTTCTAAACTGAAATCAACGTATTTATTCGAATTATCAAGTTAAATGTCAATGTATTCAGATAATTATTAACTGTACCATCATTTTGTAGTAGGTAAAGGTATTGACGTTATATTCTAGGGTTATAAAGTACTCGTCAGGGGCTTCAAAATGAGGTCCACGAGACCCCAGTTTTCATATAATTTTTCTTAAAAAATCAAAGAGGACTCTTTATACTTTTTTTAATTCTCTCTAGCTTTCAATGGACTTTGCCATCATCATCAGGAGCTGCAATTACAATGATAACAGTAGCAACAAAAGTGTAAAATGAATTTAAATTGACTCAACTTACAGTAGTATGTGAGGATGTTGCTAATTGTTGTTTACGTATAGGATGAGGGAAACGTCCAATAACATGGTGAGAGCTGGATACATGGTACAATGGTCAAAATTATATAAAATATGACAAGACAAGTTAAAAACAGATTAAAAATTATTTAAAAAACATTAGAGCATTACGTCGTGAAGCCACTTGATGATTGCACAAATTGGTGGTCATGGAATAATGAGTGAGATGAACCTTTGATAGAAGGCCGAAGGTTGTCAATGTCTGTGTTGAAAGATGGAACGAATTGTGGGCGTGTGCCAAA